AGTGTTAAAATGGATGTAAAGGAAATAGAGTTGATTGGATTAATATGGCTCAGGATAGGAGTCAGTGGTGGGTTTTTGTGATTACTTCAGGTTTCATAAAAGGCAAAGAATTTTATCACTAGAAACTGAACTGAACTTTCGAAATGTCTTCTCTGCCGTAGAAAACGGGAATAATATTTTTAGTAGGAATTTAATGAGAAATGATGAAAAGTTCACCGAACAAAATTAATAGTATTTAGTAGGAGTTTTTAATCAATCTGGCTAGACGAATTTGTTCTGTGTTTTTCAGTTCTCATGTTCCCTAATTTTGAGAATGGTCGTCGTCGTTTTAGTCAAATTGCTGGCCCTACGTGGCCACCGACCCACCAGTTGCTTGTTTTTGGTAGTTGTCCAGTAGTTAGTCCATAATTCTTACTAGTATTTGCATAGGAATGCATGGACACAATTGCGTTATTAATGCTGGGGAAAGTCCACTGAGAATTTATATCACGTATCCCTGGAGTTCACCCGTCGAAGCCATATTTCATGTCGTCAACAAATTAGCGCTGAATGGGGAAAAAGATGCGTGTATTCTGGTAGATATAGTAATTGTGTAGTTCTAACTAGCCAGCTAGGGACTGTCCAAATCATTTAAGAAAGACACGCCACTACTTTTTGGCTTCTGAAACCCGAAGCTTGCAGCTGAACGCTAGTTAAATTGAGGTATAAACTGAATCGCGGAATCTTCATTAATTAATAGCCGTTCAAACAAATACGAAAAAAAAAATCAGATTGGATTTAGAGTAAAGAAACTTTTTAACGAAAGTCTTATCGTCGTTTTCCACTATCAGCATTTCTCATAAAATTGTAATATGTTAATTTAGATTTGTGATATATTTGAAACGGAGGTTACGTTGAACTGATAGATCAAATAGTAACTAAATGCACAAGGAGCATTTAGAGGAGAAGCACAATAGAAAATCCTATTCAAGAGGACTGATAAATAAGCAGGTACATCCTCCCAGTACTGAGTTAATTTTATTCATTTCGTGAGAAAAAAACCTACCATTTGCCGGTTTAATCTAGTCCAAACCCTCACTTCTTGGTTCATTTAGATAGATTTTAGGATCGTCCGCTTTGTTTCTAAATAGTCTCTATTCTGATAAAATCTTGAAAACATTAGACTATTCAGTTTCATTATACGTGCCACATGACCCGCCCATCTCATCATTCTTGCCTTGGTCATCAAGCAATGTATTTTGAACATTGCGTGTAGCAGATAATTATTGACGTAACAAAATGTGTACACTGAGAGAAAATGTAACTGATATTTTGACATTGCTGCAAGAAATATAATTGATTACTAAATATTGTCAGAGAATATAGAAAGCAATTACATCGGACCGTTACAAAAGTAATTATGGGTAATTACGAAGAAATAATGAACCTGTTCTTTTCTGCTTATTCCTAGAAAAAATGAAATGTTTACAATTCCCTCGTTCAGATATTTCTCTAGCTGCACTTTCCAAATGTCATTTTCCTACTGGACTGTAGATATTGTAAGACTCTTTGATGACCTTTTATTAACTGTTGAACCTCTTCGGAAACTAAAACTTGGATCGGAGGATCATATACGTAATGGAACGTAACTTCTTCGTTAGCAGAGGACTAGACTTAATTTGGAAAGCACCTAGATCGAATCTCGGTTGATGCTAACTATCGAATCAGTGATTTTCCACGAAATCTTCAATAAACATCCGGAATTTTAATACAGAAAGAATACGATATAATTTATCTATAT